TCTTCCTGTAGTGCCCATTCATACCAATGTGTTTAACATGCACCAATACATGTACACAACTTGACCATTGCTTAAAATCGTGCTAGTTCACAGCTGCTCAATGGCATGCATTGTCCATTTTGTGATGTAGCAGCTTGCATTATGGGGCCTATTGATAAACGATTTTATTAAAACACATAAAAAAGGCACAGAAACTTGTGAATCCAGCCTGTCTTGTTTAAAAAAAAATATTCATGGCCAGACTAGACAGGTAAAATTTTGACTGCACTGGAATTAATGGCCTGTGATGATCTGAATGGAGTAGGGGATTAATGTATCATTGCCAATATTGCAGATTAGTTGTACTGGATTACAGCAATCCCCCAAACCATACTGACTGAAGAAAACATATTACACTGACAAACTATGATGTCCTGTGCTTGAAGTACAGGTTCTCAGCCTCTGGCAAGGGTTCTTCAGGGGTACATATGGCAGGCTACAATCAATTGATCAGATCAGTATGGAATTTAAGCACATGGTAAAATATCAGTAAAACAAACCTGAGAATGCATTTCTGTTATCTAAAACCCCAGTGAACTGTACTTGAGATGTAGTAGAGTGCACCTAGAGGTACTTTGCAAATATATTTTATATTTTTAAAGTCAAGGGGGAAAAAAAACAGTGATTCCCACCCTGGAGGCAGAATGGACCTCGGTAGACCTATCCTTGATGCTATCCTACTCTTGCAGCATGATACAGGAGAGTTAACAGGGCTGGAAAAAGCACTTATGCTAGGTGAATATTGCCATTTTTATTTTATTTCTGCCATTTGAGCTGTCCTGGCCTTTTGATGTGTTCCTGCACCATGAGGGTCCATTCACACCAGCCCAGTCCATTACTGTGCCTCAAACACATGTGCTTTGGTTCACTAACAAACGTAATTGTGGTATGGCAGCCCATTCATTTCAATTGACTGCCCAACAACACCTCACATTAGTGCCACATATACTGCAATGCAAGAGCATTTAAAAGGAGTGCTGGGGTGCCTTTCAAAATTAATAGCACCTAATCATACCAATCCACATTACCAAAGCTCAATGGCGAGAACAGGTCCTTAAGGAGTAATGGACTACCTCCAAACCATGCCTGCCCTCAATTTATTTATGGCTATGTACAGTGGTGTATTTTGGTTTTGTGCTGCCCTAGGCAACACTAAATCCAGACACCCCCCAATCTAAATTTGCCCCACCACTTACTGTTTAAGACATTTTGCGTAAACTGCCAGTCACTGGATACAGCGAGCACCTGTTTAAAGACTAACAGGCGAGTGCTGCATGACTTCTGCCAGCGTCTACAGTGGGCTGTGCAGGGGTCTCAGGCGGTGGGCTGTGCAGGAGTCTCAGGCGGTGGGCTGTGCAGGGTCTATTTCCCTGCACACATGTGCTGCTCCTCTTACCTGCAGCCCGAAGTGCCCAGCCTGCCTCTGGGACATTCCGTTGTCAGATCAAGCCACCCGTTGCTTCTCCTCCACCTCCTGTCGGCCGGCCAGACCATATCTCACTCCCCTCCTTCATCGGGCAGCTCTTTAATTAGGCAGCCATTCGTGAAGGCCTCGTGGCAGCCTAATTTGCCTGATTAGGCATCCGTCGCTGCCTGATTCTCTGCAGACTGGCTCGCCTCGCCCACCGGGCAAGTGCCCGGTATGTCCGATGGCCAGTCTGGGCCTGTGCGTCACTGGTTTTTGAGTTAGTGTTTTTGTTGCACCTCTGGAAAGTGCTGCCCAAGGCAAACGCCTTGTTTGCCTTGCGGTGGTTTTGCCCCTGGCTATATATGTCCCAAGATGGGAATAAATTGATCTAGGTGACTGCCATTTTAATTTTGCTGGAGAGAATGACATAAATAAAGAGAGACAGTCAGTCCACTTTTTTCAAAGGCAATAAACATGAGCATTGAGAAAAAGCCCAAATAAATTAGTTACCAACTATAACTATTCAGATACATCTCCATGTACCACAACTGCAGATTCCAGGGCTTATTTGTTTACCACAAAAACTAATATAGGAAACACTTAATTTTTGTAATTTCCATTGTGTTTATATTTTATTTGCAGATAGTTCACTACTGCGAAGTTCTTGGATCTAGTGAGATGTTTACTTCTTAAAAAGTCATAGGGCCTTGGCAAATCTAACGACAAGGCGCTAAATATCACACAAACCTGAGCCTACTACTCAAATATTGACTGAAAACTATTTTGCAAGCCAAAAATGTAACATATCAAACATATTTGCACAGACTGGGCCAACTGCTATACATTATAGGGTTATATATAATACAGGTTTCCATACAAAACATTGAGCTTATTTTTAGAACCCAAAGACAGGAAAAGTACAGTTACAAAAGTATTTTGAAGCGGTTTTTCATATTTACATTCTCTTTACATCAGGCTTACAAATCTCAGGTTCAGTCATAATAGATCCAGAAAATCTAGCTGAAAAGGTCAACATAGGCTACATTCAGACTCAGAGTATTGTTCCCACATATTTTTCCATTTAATAGCAGGATGGTGAGGAATATATAGACACTCACGTATTTAAAAGGACCCCCCCTTTGGACGAATGCTCCTTCCCCTCCACCGGTGCTGGTGTACTATCCGTAGCCTGTACTGTCATATAGCGCAGCCCTGCATTCTATAGTTTCAATTTTGCTCGCAAACGGTGAGCACTCATTGGTCAGAAGCGCTTCTCATTGGTCAGCATGGTCAGAAGCGCTGCTCATTGGTCAGCACGGTCAGAAGCTCTTCCCATTGGTCAGCGCAGTCAGGTCATGGCAGTACAAACAGTACACCAGCAGAGGGGAAGGAGAGTTGGCCCAAAAGTAAGTATAGCAGGGGGAGAGGGGGCAGGTGTAATTGCATTTTTGCAAATTCACCTGGAAACGTGGAATTACCTTTGAAAGATCTTCTCCCCTCATTTGAGCCACTGTGGCCCAAGTACCGCATTATTAGAGAAAGGGAAGAAGGTTGCATCGCTCCCCCATGCCCAGCAGCACTGCATATATACCAAGCGCTTTAACAGAATGGCAAAGGTGAGTACCAGTGGGTGGGGGGTGTTATACTTTCAGGAGAACCTGTCATTTTGCTCTAAATAGGCAAAGTGACCGCCTTTTTAAGGACCAATAAAAAGGGTAAACAAGTATCAACTTTCTTGACTCAAGTCAGTTGTTGCCCGTTATGCTTGTGATACTCAAGTGAACAAGGCCTAAGAGAAGTGTGTACAGTAAGCTTTTAAAAAGCATTTGGATAGCTTTCGACAAGCTTTAAGCAGCTTTTTGCGATTTTTAAAGCACCATTCATTTCCAGTTTGGGGATGTTAAACACATCTTAAAATGGAAGTTAACCCTAAAATTACTCAATCAACAACAGACATATAACAAATGTACCTTGATAAATGCATAGCACCATGTTTGACTTCTGTTCACACTCCAGCAATCAGCATTTGAACATGCCGGCTATCATCAGTGGCACCATGCAACTCATGGTGTCTCTCGGCCCCCCTCATGCTATTTAAGTGCTGTGATTGCAAAGCCTGGCTGGAAACTGCTTGAAGGCGCCCTGGTACTGTCAAAGATGTAGATAGCATGATGGGGCTAAGAGACACCATGAGTTGCATGGCGTCACTGGTAATAGCCAGCGGTTTTCCTATGCTGATTGTTGGACAACCGCAGCACAGACAGAAGTCAAACATGGTGCTATGAATTTATCAAGGTACAGGTGAACTAGGATGAACTTCCAAAGTGTGTGCATCAGGGAGAATTCTGTCTGTCACTTTAAACATACTGCTAGCAGGCTTTAGCTAGTTAAAAGCCTGCTAAAAACTGAAGTTTTCTTTAACCTCTCACCGTCCGCCCGTAGTAGAAAAACGGACGGACGGCACTGCAGCATCTGCGGGTTGCCGTCTCCAGACGGCAATTTTTTTCTGCTCGCGCGCGCCCCCTAGCGGGCACGCACGGGCAGAAAAGACCCGATCAGTGCACACACCCGTTACCGGGTGTTACACATATAACTCAAATCTGCTCAAAGCTTGATGAAAGCTTTCCAAAGGCTTTGGAAAAGCTTGTAATACACACTGTTTTTATACAAGCTGTAGACCGTGTGAAGAGTATCTGAGTGGCCTGGGTGTCAGATATAATGTTACAAGCAGATGTCTGTGCCCACTTTTCATTCATGTTGCCATTTTACATTATTTTTAAAGAGGAAAGGTAACTATAAAAATGTAACAATATTGCAATATATCACTTTATCTTGTAGCCATTCTTACTCAGATTTCAGCTTACACGGGAAGCCATTGTATTCAGCTGCAGACTTCAACAGAGGTTTCACAAGAAAAGTCATGTACTGTATCAACAGTGAAAGCATTTGCATTGTACTCCATTTTTTTATATTAATCTCTTTTTCTACTAGATTCCACCATAAATTGTTCTGTGCTGGCCAATCCAAAACATCAGTTATCACCTTCATACACAAAACTTTACCTCAGGTGACATATGCAGCCAAAGACAATGGCTGCCCCAAAAGTCACTAGTGAAAATGAACGCAATACAGCAGTGTAAAAATAATTTAAGGCAGAATTAAAAACTAAAAGCAGAATGGATTTTGTCTTTATTTCTCCACTTCATTTTGCCACTTTGTTGTTGAAATAACGGTGTGTGTAAATTTAGAATTTAATGCTGAATAGCATTAGTCGTAGCAGTCAGATCAATAGGTAATCAAAAAGTGAAATGACATGCCAGTGACTGGTATTTCATGTCACAGTGATTACAGACCGTGAACAGGCTCTTGGCTTACTTTTAAGACTAATTTCTCATTGTTGCCATGAAGGGGCTCCTGATTGGTACACACCCCAAAGCACAACATTGCATGATTGCAGAAATAAAGCACAGCGATTACACTGGCAAAGAGGACGTCGCAAACACACCACAAAACACAATCAAAAAAGTTGAAAATATGTATGAATCCTTCTTACATAATGCTGCTGTTTTCCAAGACCTCCCATGCCATCTCATTGCTGAGGGACCCGAGATACATGGATGACCTGGAAAACAGTTATTTTGGAAGAAAAAGCTAGTAAATTTCAACATCATAGGCAATACATTATTAAAACTCATTAAACTGGCCCTTTCATAAAAAAACAAAGATGTAGAAAAAAAAATCAATCAATAATGCTAAAGAAAAATAATTAGTGTTACAATAGAAATGTTCTGTATACTAGTACTTAGAATTAAAAGCCCCAAAAAATGTCTTTATAGAAAGTCAGTTTAGGCCAGTGAGAATAAAGGCCTTGTGAAGAGAAGTCTGGATTGATAGACACACAACAGCTAGTTTGCCTGTTAAATGGAGATACGGGCCATGTGCAGGAAAATGCATTTTGTAGGGTACATTTGCTCACTTATGCCATTCTATTACCAATGAGTTAACCACCGCCAACCCACCTTTAATTTCCTCTCTGTTATTCTGATATCATCACCGCTTATTCTTATCATATTACTGAACAGCTTTTATCTTGCAAAGGCTTTCCTTCAGGTTTTATGGAAAATTTGGGGAAGTAAGGTTGATCTGCTCATTTCTAAAGGAAACCTATGGCCAAGCTTTGGGCAGTCAAGTAATTTAATATACTTTAACAGTAAAACAACTCACTGACTACTGTAGCTGCAGGCATTGTGGAGAAATGCATTCTTAAATCTCACAGTAGAAGCACAGGGGCAGGATGAGCTACCGAGAGACCTGACTTCAATGTTTGTTAAAAAATCTGAGGATGAATTGCTCAACAGGTACTGCAGTTGCATAGGTCAGCATGATTTTTGTCAAGCTCCTTTACTACTCTTTTTAAGAATGTATAAAAGAGTGAATGTCAATAGCCTGGCTACAGGTTCATTTTAAGGCTTTGGCATTCAGTTGGTTTTATAAGCCCACAGGTCTCCTGTGGTGAACATTTTCGGCAACTGTAAGGTTAATGTAATTTCTTTTTCTGCCTTTATAAAAGAATGTGGATAAACCTATGGCCTTAACCTACCCACCTGAATTCGTGTGATGTTTGTTATTTGCAAAGCCTTATGAATATTATTACTATTATTCTAGGTTACACTTTTATCTGTAGTTGCATCTCAGTGCTGCTGATCTCCTGTAGCCTCTGTACAGACAACGGAAGGCAATGAATGCACAATGCTTAGCATATTGTAATCTCCCCTGGGAGGATGAGAGGGTGACAACACAGGAGTACAACTGGGATACAGGGAGAGAGTGCTGTCACGCATTAACAGTAAGTGAAGAAGGACCTTTATGACAGGACGGCCAGATATTAGTTTTATTTTAATTTACACTACAGATTGAACATTTAAACGATTTTTAAAAATTACATTAACATGTTAAAGCTTAAATAAGAGCTTAGTGACTGAGTTTGATAACATTAAGTGTCTGGACCTTTATGGCAAGATCGCCAGGTATTATTTTAATTAAAGCTGCAGATTTAGAAATATCAAAAATGTAAATGAAAGCAGAGATGGGATCCATGGTTTTCTACACCCCATAGAGCTACAAATGTAACATTAGTCAAATCTTTGCTTTATTAATAAAAAGGGGAAAAAAAACACTAGGTTCCAGCTCACAAAAACACAAAAGCTACAAAATTCTAACTAAAAATGTAAAACTGTATAGAGAAACATCTGCATCTAAATATGGGCTTCCTTTGAGGCTCTTTGAGGACCACAAAAGGTAATCAGACAAACATAAGATAATCTAATTCAGGGCTGGAGAAATACCAGGAGCCAGGTGGCTAATGATCCTTAAAAATTACAGCTGGCGCCTAACTTTTGAGGTTTCCTAAATGGAGATGGCTACGAAAAGCAGATCCTGTAGGCGCCTGGCTTGGACAGACTGGCTCTTGAACTCCATGATTTTGTCCACCCCTGATTTAATTGCTCCAAAAAGTAGGGCAATCAATAACATCCCACTACTGCCAAACCTGCCACCCTAACCCTGAATTTTAGCATAGTGGTTAGCACTGCTGCCTTGAAGCACTAAGAGGACCCAGTTCAAATCCCAGCAAGGACACTATCTGCAAGGAGTTTGCATATTCTCCCTGTGCTTGCGTGGGTTTTCTCCGGGTTTCCTCCCACAATCCAAAGACATGTTGCAAGGTTAATTGGCTCCTGTCTAAAATTGGCCCTTGTATGTATGCATGTGAGATGGGGACCTTAGATTGTAAGCTCATTGAGGAGAGGGACTTATGTGAAACTATGTAAAGCACTGCATAAATTGTCAGTGTTATATAAATACTAGGGCTGGGGAAATTAACAATTAATTCCTCGATTAAGCGTTAAACTTTTTGATCGATTAAAATTCTTTTGATCGAAAATGAAAAGACTCACCTCTCAGCTGGCTTTCGGGAGTCCCGGCGGAGATCCGGTGACGTCACGGACATCGACGTCACCGGACTCCTCCCCCCTCCCCTTCGTTAGCCGACGGAGCCACTTGGGCCGGTGAGTTTGCCCAAGAAGCACCAAGCTTCTGTCTTATCTTAAACTTATATATATGCACTATGTGGCTCTCCATTAACCCCTCCCCCCCATCTCGCTCCCAGAAATGTGCCCATTGAAATTTACTGATATTATGTTGCAATCAGGTCCTTACATGAAATGGAATGGTGCGGCTACTTCAAATATTAAGCTAATACTTATGTTTAAATCAACCTTAGTGCTTTGCTGTTTTACTATACTATGTAAATACATTTGTAATCCAGCACGTTATTATTCTGAGTTGCCCCACTCAAGCGGTGGCCATATTGAGTGGGGCACGTGAGATTAATAACGTGCTGGATTAGTGTGATCCTAGTTCATTTTATTACTTCATTGCTGTGCTGTATGTGTATAGGCCAATGTAGTTGGATCTGTATGTGCGTTATAATTAATCGAAATTAATCGATTAAAAAAAAAATTTGATTAATCGAACACGAACATTTTAATCATTACCAGCCCTAATAAATATCTGTAATAAATAAAATAAACTAGCAGTTCTGTGAAATACACATTTTACAATAGCCTTTACCATACCATTTACCTTAGCTAAAACCATTTTCAGATTTTCTTCCATGTACTGCTGCTTTCCTGAGGCTAGCATACACCATGCACGGCTAAAAGTTACAATAGGTTTGGTCTATTACAAAATGTTTTTGTTTATAATGGGTGCCATGGTTGCAGGCGGTCTCGTGAACACAGCAAAGTGCCGCATAATGAATGGTGGAAATAAACATACTAAATATAAAAACTGAACCTCCTACATCATATATTTTCTAGGCAAAAAAAGGGTAAAAAGTTAAAGAATGTTCATTTACCAAAAAAAAAAATTAGAAAGATTTCAACTAGCAAAATCAATTGCTGGTATGAAAATCTGGGACACAAGGAAGCCCTAAGCATGTTCTACACTGGGGTCACAGGCCTTCAACATGAATAGGCCCATAGAACAGAATAGACAGAAACATCTTCATACAACAGACTGGTTTTCATTTTTGTGCATTTCCCCCCCCCCCCCCAACTAGAACATTCTTTCTATTTTTCTATTTTGTAAAAGTTTATCTACACAGATGGGAATTGCTAGGTGCAATTAGCAATTTATCTTCCAGAAAACATTTAATTCTTAAGCATATCGGAATAATGCCTTGAGAGGAAAAAGGGTGGGGAGGAGAGACCAATTAAACTGCATTCACATCTGCTTTGTATTCTGTGGAAGCAGTAAAACTTTTAACACGTACATTTAAGAAAAAAAAATGACTAAAAAGTAAAACTATCTGACCTGCAAAGCTCTCTCTAGGTGCACAGCTAAATTAAAATTTGCATTGCGCCGAGCGTGAACTGAGATTCTCATTAATGACATTTTTCAGAAGAACATTTAACAGATGATGTTCAGGCAAGTAATGGTAAACAGTAACAGTTTCTGGTCAGTTGTATTATTTTTTTTTTAATTTTACAAGTTTATGAACTAGACTTTTATTTTTTATTAAAAAAGGCTTCTGGAACATTTCAGTTCGCAAGGCATGCTGTGCTGTCTATCAATAAAGCACAGCATTACCTGCATGTTTTGTGGCTGTGTGTGAATTAAGTAGCTAGGATTCTTTTTCTTTTTTGTGCTAGGTGTGAGAAACAGGGGTGATTGCTATTCAGGTCTATTTTTAGCTGCAGAACAATCCTTCACAGAGCTCCACGTGATAGAAGTAAATATGAAATATAAGCATGCAACCTTTTATATGGTTAAGATTACATTATATCTAAATAAAAATAAAAAAAAAGATTATATATTGTAGATCACTAGTCAGTTAAGGGCGTAACTAGAAATCAGAGGGCCCCATAGCAAAATTTTGTATGGGGTCCTGTGATTTCTAGTTACGCCCACTTGATAACCCAAACAGCCCACCTGAGAGTGACCCTGCAGATCTCACCATAAAGCTAGCCTCTCTATGGTGGGCTCTGCAGGGTCTCAAGTGGGTGGCCAAGCCCTCTTAACCGTCAGCCCTGATCCTCTGTCCGCCTCCTTCTCCTCCATCACCGGGCCCCGCCTCCTCCATCACCAGGCCCCGCCTCCTCCATCGCTGGCAACCATGGGCCCAGCGACCTCCTCCAAAGCTGCAGGTTGTCACCGACTCAGCAGCAGCTGTCTGTGATGAGGAACGCGCCACTGTACACATCACTGAAAGGTTGTCAGTGATGTGAATAGCAGTGCGTTCCTCCTCCCAGCCGCCAGTGACAGCCAGCAGCCTGAGATGCCATAGCGACCCAGGTGGCCCGCACAACATCAGGGGGAAGTCTTGGCCGGGCCACCCCCTGTGCCTAGGGCCCCATAACAGCCGCCTGGGTCGCTATGGCGATTGTTTCGCCACTGTCACTAGTCTTAGTTGTGGGGGATGCATTTGTTTTTGGGTTTTTTTTGGGGGGGGGGTAGCTTTTTTTTACACCTGGTGATCCTGTACAAAACACACTTTTTGTCCTAAGGTTACAATGCTCATCCACAATACTGTATATATGGAAGAGATGCGTTCTCACCCAA